AATTACAAATATTAAAATGAGAGCACAAGGAACTTGGTATAAAGCACAAATTACATTCAAAGATAAAGAATCCATGAACAAATTTGGTCAATTATGTACTTAAAAGACAGTTGCAGAATTGCACCATTGGATGTTACCAAAGAAGAAATAGACAAAAGAAATAGTTGTACTCTAAAACTCACTAATCTGCCATATGGCACAACAGCATATGATTTACATGATATTATGTTAGCAGTAAAGGCTAAAACTTGTTAGTAGTAGAATCAGTTATTACTATATATGACAAACGTTTTAATTTCTGTTGTAATATATAAAAAAAAAAATAACAAATGGTGGTTAACTGGTTAATCAAAAAGAATTAACCGGTTAAAAAAATATCTTAACTGGTTAACCATGGTTAAACAGTTAATGGTGCCAACCCCTACAACAAAGGTTTATATATAATTTATTTTTTTTCCTCTCAAAAATGATGGCAGAAATCTTAAATGATCAATTTAAATATTTACAGAGCTCAATGATTATTGCATTCATTGTGATTCAGATATACACATATTTATTCGTTTTTCAGTTTAATTAATCTCAACATATATCATATTCTTTAGGTGAAAACTATTCACTGTGGCCTTGTGATGATTGTGTTTTTAATGAACCAAGAGATTGGTTGCAAAGTGGATGGGCCCTTTATTCTTCTGAAACTAGATGATACAATAATTATAACACCAAATTTAATATAAAGTAATGCTTGGGAATAATTCAATGCAAAAAATGTAGTGCCCAAGTTAGACTAAAAATGAAAGCCCGCAAAAAAAAAAATAGAAAGCAGATTGGTAAAGGCTGCCCATTAAATAATTGCAATGGTATTTAATTTGGATTTTATATAAATATTGATAAATACATATTATTAATTTATTTCTTAGGAGTCTTAGAATGGATCCATTGTATGATCAATTGTAAGTTTATTAATCGGATCAACCTGATGAAAATGGTTTTTATTTCTACTTATTACATAAAGGTCACCATGAACATCAAAAACCTATTCAAAACAAACCATTCAATAACGAAATAGATATGTTCAAAAAAAGTGCTTCTGCAAGCACCAGATACTTTACCCCAAAAATTACATGTTGGGCAGTCCTTGGAAAAAAATAATCCATTTTCTTTAGTTAGAAACATTTCAGATGCATTTTCTAATACTGACCAAATTGCCTATTATCTATGTAAAGTAATTGAAGAAGAAAACCTTATAACTAAAACAGCTCACCGCTATGGAGATAATTTTGTCCTGGGTATTTTGCAATTCCAAGTAGACCATCCAAACTTTATAAGAAGAGCAGATTTTGCTAACAAAGGCATAATAATATTACAATCAGATTGGATGGAACAACAAACCTTTTCATCAAGTAACTTTTCAGGAATTGTTACTGATAGCACATATATGTACTTTTCAAACGCATTCTTGTTATCCAGGTATAATAAACTCATAAGATTAATTAATTTACTATTTTGATAATAGCCCTGTGTATTGCCCTCTGCTTGAAAGGTGGATACCAATTTTAATATCAATAATTTTAAGAGAGGACAAAATTCATTACAAAGAACACTTTAAATATTTGTTTGATGGGAAATGCAAAAATGAGGATTCCTCAAATAATCTTTATGCGCAAGTCATTGATTTTAGTATATCCCCGATGCCCAGCAAGAAGGATAAAGTATACAACATGAGGAAGGGATACCAATGCAGCTGTAAACATCGTTCTATCTGGAGCATCAATCATTCTAGCTGCTGACCTTCAGCCCCTTCCTCTTTTTCGCCGCAATGCTAATCACACAAGGTATGTCTTTTAGATGAAAATAAGAAGTCAATTGGTCAGGTAAAGGGGAAAATCTTGGAGAACCATTTTGGATAAATAGTTAATATTGATGATGACGACGATGATTGTACTAATACTAACACTAATGAATTCTTGATAAACAGTCCAAATCTAAAGATAATGGTAACAAACATGGCAAGTAGAAAAAATTACACCAAAAAAAACGCCGTAATTATATTAACTCTTTTTAAAAAGAGCATGTAATTAGAAATCTTATTTTTTCAAGAGAATATTTTTTATTTGCTATTTTTGAATTGTTATGTTATTATTATTATTAAAAAAAATTATAAAACTTCAATTTTCCCACCACTAATTAAATTTTTTTTGTATAAACGAATTTCTAATCTAACAAATGATATTTTATTAAAAGAATTTGTTTTATTATTGTTGTTGTTGTTGTTGATCATTTTTCCTATATCTTTTTACCACACCATCTGTGTTATTCAATTTACGTTTCTTGGAACTTTGAGCAGCAGGGTTATTGATTTCTTCACCAATTCTCTTTGGTCTACCACGACCACGTTTTACTGGAACTTCAACTTGACCTGAAAAATCAATTTTTAGATTTTTATTTATATTCTCCAAAGCTGTAATTAATTTATTATGATCTTGTGATGTGTGTGATATGACATTATTTTTACTTGGCCTACCTCGGCCACGTTTAATGATATTATATTTTTTGGATTCTTCTTCATGATTATTTTCAAGTTTATCTTGATGTCTTGGTCTACCACGCCCAGGTTTTTTATTAGGAATGTTAGATTGATGTGATTGATTATTATCTGCACTTTTATTCTTTATTTGTCTATTACTTCTATGTACTTTAGCTTTTTTTTGCTTTTCGCCCTTTTCTTCATTATCATTATCATCATCATTCGTATCTGCATCTGCATCACCACTATCACCGTAACTTCTACTGGATTGGATTTTTTTATTGATTTTATCACTTTTCTTTGGTCTGCCCCTTTTACGTTTTTTATTTACTCCATTTCCTGTAGGGACAGTATTATTTTTATCTTGAACCCTTTTAGGCCTTCCACGACCACGTTTAACCGACGATGATAAATTATTATTGTTATCATCACCATAACCATTTATATTAACATTATTACTATAACTATTATTGTTGTTTGCGTCATCATCGTCAGTGCTGGGATGGGTTTCAATACTTTTACTATTTAGATCCTGGTGTTTTTTGGGTCTTCCACGACCACGTTTAACTAATGACTGTAAACTACCATTAGTATCACTATTGTTGTTGTTTACGCCAGATCCGTCAACACCAGGATTGGTTTCAATACCATTACCATTTAGAAACTGTACTTTTTTGGGTCTTCCACGACTACGCTTAACTGATGATTGTAAATAAGCATTATCATCATTATTATCGTTGTTTGCACCAGGTTCACCAATACTGGGATTGATTTCAGCATCTTTACCATTTAAAATCTCTTTTTTTGGTCTTCCGCGACGTTTAACTGATGATAACAAATGAGTATTAGTATCACTGTTAATATTGTTTTCGCCAGATCCATCAGTACCGGGATTGATTTCAATACTTTTACCATTTAGATCCTGATGTTTTTTGGGTCTTCCGCGACCACGTTTGACTAATGATTGTAAACTATCAATAGTATCACTATTATTGTTGTTGGCATCAGGTTCATCAGCACCAGAATTAATTTCAACACCATTACCATTTAGAAATTGAACCTTTTTGGGTCTTCCACGACCATGTTTAACTGGTAATTGCAAATAAAAATTAACATGACTGCTATTATTGTTTGCACCGGGTTCACCAACGCTGTGATTGATTTCAGCATCTTTACCATTTAAAACCTCTTTTTTTGGTCTTCCACGACCACGTTTAACTGATGATAACAAATAAAAATTATTATTACTGTTATTATTGTTTGCACTAGATTCATCAATACAGGGGTGGATTTCAATATTATTGTTGTTGGAATCAAGCTCATCAGTACCAGAATTAGTTTCAACGCCATTACCGTTTAGGAACTGAACTTTTTTGGGTCTTCCACGGCCACGTTTAACTGATGATTGCAAATAAACATTAACGTTACTGCTATGATTGTTTGCACTAGGTTCAACAATACTGGGATTGATTTTATCATCTTTACCATTTAAACCCTCTTTTTTTGGCCTTCCACGACCACGTTTAACTGATGATAACAAATAAAAATTATTATTACTGTTATTATTGTTTGCACTAGATTCATCAATCCAGGGATGGATTTCAATATTATTGTTGTTGGAATCAGGCTCATCAGTACCAGAATTAGTTTCAACGCCATTACCATTTAGGAACTGAACTTTTTTGGGTCTTCCACGGCCACGTTTAACTGATGATTGCAAATAAACATTAACGTTACTGTTATTATTGTTCGCACCAGGTTCACCAATACTGTGATTGATTTCAGCATCTTTACCATTTAAAATCTCTTTCTTTGGTCTTCCACGACTGCGTTTAGCTGATGATAGCAAATAAACATTATCATCACTGTTATTATTGTTCGTACCAGGTTCACCAATACTGTGATTGATTTCAGCATCTTTACCATTCAAAATCTCTTTTTTTGGTCTTCCACGACCACGTTTAACTGATGATAGCAAATTAACATTATCATTACTGTTATTATTGTTTGCATTAGATTCATCAATACAGTGATTGATTTCAATACTTTTACCATTTAGATCCTGATGTTTTTTGGGTCTCCCGCGACCACGTTTAACTAATGATTGTAAACTATCAATAGTATCACTGTTATTGTTTTTTGCAGCAGGTTCATCAATATTAGGGTTGATTTCAACACCATTACCATTTAGAAACTGAACTTTTTTGGGTCTTTCACGGCCATGTTCAACTGGTGATTGCAAATAAACATTAACATTGCTGTTATTATTGTTTAGATTGATTTCAGCAACCTTATCATTTAAACCCTCTTTTTTTGGTCTACCACGACCACGTCTAACAGATGATTGTAAATTATCATTAGTATCGCTATTATTGTTGTTTGCATTAGATTCACCAGTACCAAGATTAATTTCAACACCATTACCATTTAGAAATTGAACTTTTTTGGGCCTTCCACGACCATGTTTGACTGATGACAATGAATTAACATTAATATCAATTTTTTTATCGCTGTTGTTGTTGTTGTTGTTGTTGTTGTTGTTTGCATCAGGCTCAGTCTTTATGATTTTTTTACTATTGAGATCCTGAACTTTTTTTGGCCTTCCACGACCACGTTTAACTGATGATGGTAAATTATTATTAATATTACCATTGTTGTTTTTATTATCACCATTATTTTTATTACCATTTTCTTCAGACTTAGGCATGTGCTCATAAGTTCCTTCCTTAGAACTAACCTCGTCTTCGATATTAGCTAAACCATGATTTCCAAATATGAAATTAATCAATTAAATTCAAGGAGTAAAAATAATTTGTTTAAATTATTTACCATTGACTATTATTCCAATGCCATTTTTTTCAGTTGTCTCGTTAGATAATGAGACCATTGATGTCATATTTGCTTTGGAAGTTCTGCCAGGCCTGCGTTCAACAGCCGTGGCTGAAGTTGTTTTTTGGTTCATTTTTTCGATTCTTTTCTTTTCAACTAGAAATTTTAAAAATTGAAAGTAAAAAAAGTATTGTTTCTTTACTAAGCTAAAAAAATGATCCTCGTGATTGATTATAAATAAACCCCCAAAATAACTGCGGGTAGCGTTTTTTGTGAGACCCATGGTAAATTTTAAAGCTGATTGTAATTGTGAATTCATCATACAATTAAATTTGTATTCAAGAGTGAACAATGATTTGAAACAGCTACAAGATAGGTTTGTTATGAGTTTATGCTTATAAATATCGTATACTTTTAATATTTTATTATTATGATATGAGATATTAATATTGGTTAGGCTTTAGAAGCTCACCCCGTGAAAGATTAATGAATATGAATATGAAATGAAATCATTATTAGGCACAATTTTTTATTATAGATTTGTTACTGATGATACTTTTTTATTTTAATCAAAAGGATTTCGGATAAAATACATAGTGAATTTTCTTGATCATTCCTCTTGCAAAACGATCAACAACTCTTGAGCATTTTCGTGATGAGTTTCCACGTTTTTTTAATCTTCCTCCAAAAGCTGCTCGATCGGATCGAGATCAAGAGATTTGGGTGCCCAATTAGCCTTATGAAAAATAAATCCAGAAAAACCAACTTTTCATGTTTTTACTGTGCGGAAAACTTTACCTGAAAGGCGCAATTATTATTATTTATTATTCTTATTGGGATTAGTTACGGAAAATATAAATTCCATACTAATACTAATACTAATACATTTTCTGCGATATGGAAATTAACGGAAGACATAAAGGGAATAGAAACATTTTTCTGTACATTTTACGCAAGTTTTCCATACAAAAAAGGTACAGAAAAGCGCTCTTTTCAAGGAAAATTCTGGACATTTCCCGTGTGTTTTCCATATTAATATATTTTTCATACAAAATTTTTTATAGGGTATATAAATAAGATTTTTAACATTATTTCTCTTGTCTAATTTTGCACATTTTTATAATTCTAACACCATTACTTCTTTCTAAAAAATTGAGATCTTTCCCTTTGCCGGAAAAACACCCCTGTACCGTTATCCCACCATCGCCATGCTCCATTTTGTAATGTTCACCACTTTTCCCTCAAACACTCGTCGCTTCTAAAAATTTTGAAGCGAGATTCATCACCCCAAATAACATTTTCCCGCCCTCTTACTATTTCAATTTCTTTTGTCCAAGTACCACTTTAACTCTTTTTTGCTGATCTGTTAATAAACAAAATTTTTCTTTGAATCTGGCTTTCGGCATTTTCATATATTTTATACTGTAGTTTTTGAAAGTTTGAGTATTTTTACAAATTTGTTAAGGCTATTAATATCATCTCATTTAATACTAATACTAATACTAAGGCCAAAAAAATCACCCACTCGGCCTGATCAATTTTACGTTTTTGCGTTAAAAATTTTTCGTGGATAAAAAAATCACGTATTTAATTGAAGTTAATTTTTTTTAATCGAATTCTTATTGTGAATGTTAGAAATATGAGATGTTTATTGATTGAAACTTGAGCTACATAATGATATTTTTTAAATCTTTTTTTTGTTATGTAAAAATTTGTATGATTAATAAAAAAACAAGACCCGGTACTTTCCTCCAGGCAGTGTAAAACAACTTTAATTATTTTGATATTAGTGTTTATAGCCTTTTTATCAGCCACACACAGAAACAGAAGTGTAACGAAGGAATTTATTAGATGTTGCGAATAAGCAATAAGCCAGTATCTTGTACCAAGATTTTTTATTTCTCCCGATGACAAAATTGTTTGATGAGTTTTTAAAAAAAAATACCCGATTTTAGAATAATAAAAAAATAAAATGAAATGAAAATGAACTTGCAAATTTAATTCCAATAAACAAAAAATCATTTTTTTGTAAATATTTCAGTGTAAAATCTGTAGGAAAAATAAACGATCGATTATTGATTAATAATTAAAAACTGATGGTTTAATTAATTAGATATAAAAAAAGTACTTACTCTGAAATCGACATGTTTGATTTATATCTGTGAGACATATCATCTATAAAATTTCGTCTTACATTATATCTTTAAGGGTAAATATATTAAATAAGAATTGTTAACCATTTAAAAAAAGACTACAAATTAAACTTTCTAATTAAAAGATACATACGGCTTACTATTTGTTTCTGTAAATGATCTGATCGCCTCATATGCAGATATCGTTGTATTGCGTACTAATGTACCTAGTGTGTGCCTACTTACAATCATACCATCCACTAATGGACCAAATGACTAAATAATAATCATTAATATATATATAAATATGCTCTCCTTAAAAAAGGCATCAATAATGACAATAAAACACTAATTAATGTTACTCACTAAAGGATTTTCTGCAAGTTTTGTTGTGTCTGCACCCCAACTCACTCTACCTTTTAATGATCTCCCTCCACCAAGAAAATTTATATTGCCAGATGTTCCTTGATAAGACATAACTGGCATAAGGATCCTTATCCAATATAATCCAGTTGCATTTTGTAATGGATATATAAATATATATACAAATACAGATTGCCCAATGATTGATGGAATCTTATGAATGGAAGTTATATCTTCTAGCCATACTATAGAAACTAAATCTTCTGATGCTATATTTTTAAAAATTTTTATTAAAGATTCCAATGATGAATTACTATTTGGCAAGCTAATTAAGTATGGAACACTGAAAATAACCTCTACACATCTATCTGCGAAGTAAGGTGCTGTTTTACAATGTGCAGGATCTAACTTTGCTTTATATCCTGGATGTGATTCTATTAAAACCTATAATAATAATAATAGCTTTATAGTTTAATTATTTAATTATTTATTTATTTATTAATATGGATTCACACATTTATATTTTATAATCATTGCTTAATTAGTTACCGGCCATCCTAAGCTATTCAAAAACCTTTCAAAATCTTCACTTATACGAGGAGGATTGATCAAAATTTCATAACTTTCAACGCCTGATTTAGCATAATAAATGGAAGCACTCAAACAATCTCTTCTATAATATTAATAATAGATAAATGTCAAATTTGGATATAAATAAATCTGTGAAAATAGATATTCAATAAAAATTTACTCGTTCAATTGATCAAATCTTTCTAGATCTTTTACAAGGATTTCTGATATCTTTAATGGTATTACACGATGACGATTTTCCAATGATAATAATCCTATCTGTGCCATAAATAATCTAAAAACTTGTGGACTAAAAGAGAGATACAGTTTTATAATATTTTAATAATCGTAATTTATAAAAAAAAAGGAAATATAAAGAATGAAGAGTCACCTTTCTAAGTGCTTATGAAGCTGATCATGCAAAGTTTTACAACTAACAGTATATAATAAAAAAAACTCCTAATCTTGAATATTATTATTTCAAATAAAAGAACACTTCCAAAGAATAAACATCGCTCACTTCTCTTACTTTGAATTGTTTGTTCTTTTATCTTTCACAGCCAATTCCTTTTTCTCCGCCTCCTTCTGTCTCAGTGTGAGCTTTTTAATTGCATGATATGCTCCCCAACTTTCGCTTCCCTCTTTAAATATTTTGTCCACAGATGGTATGTGCTCTGCAGTATAACCATCAACTTTTGGCAAAACTAAATTGCTAGACTTATTATCTGGTTTTTCATTAACACCTGGCGGTGTATTTGTTCTAAAAGGAAAAGTAGGTGAAGGTGTTCTTAATTTTGTAGAGTCATTTTCTCCTTCAAGCATTGGTGAACTTGGCAGTTTTTGTGATTTCTCATTCCCTTGTGACTTGTATCGCATTTGTGAAGTCCAAGAATACTTTCCAGTACTATCACGCAATACGATTATTACTGATGGAGCATCAATTAGCTCATCAGGTTCTTCTTGCAATTTGTTTAATACAATAGGTGTTTCCAGAGAAGAAGCTGTTGATGGTGTTCCCGGTGATGTAGTTGATGATGACGGTGAATTTGCAAATGTTTTAGGGGTGTTTGGTGTTCCTGGAGTAGTAACATTTGGTGTAATTGGATCACCATTAATTGCCCAAATAGGATGTTTTGGCATTTCCACAAAACCAACTATCACTCTACCATCAATTAAGAAGTATCTAACTAATTCTGGAATGTGTAATTTAGCTAATTCCAAGTCATGATTGAAAAGTGTAGAAACTCTACTTGGCCCAATATGATCACCCCATGCAGGAAAATTTCCCAGATGATTGAGAAATTGTGACATTGCAATATCAGCAGCAATTTTGACTGACAATTCACCTCTCTTCCAACATTTATTTGATCCACTCTGATATCCAATATTTTCACTACTACTTGTACCAATTCTAGTAACTCTCGGTGAAAAAAGTTTGTTAGAAGTACTTTCTTTGCGACCTCTTTTCTTTTCAACTGGTGAATTTGGCTGAGAACTGCTTTCATCTTCACTGACTGGGTTCAATGAAATTCCTTTACTAATAGTTAAAATCACTGCTTCATGACAATCACGATCACCAACTATCCATTGACCTGCAAGAATCCATCGAATCATACAATCATATGCACGCTCAATTAATTGACATGTAGATGCCTAAAATTTAATTGATCATAAAAGAATAAAAATAAAAATTTTAATGTAAACCAAATTTTCACATTTGGAATAAAGAGTTTAAACAATTACCAAACCTCCACAACTCCCTGCTAATAAAGTGTCAATGTAGCGAGAAAACGATAGTACTAATTCTCTAGCACAATTCTATAAAATTAAATAAAAATGTAAACCTATATGTAAATATATAGGTTTTGTTTTTGTTACTATTATAATAAGTAAAACTAATAAATATATTTACAATACCTTACTATCTCTTTGAACATACTCATATAAGCCTACAAAATCCTTTAATACATCAAATGCATATAGTGTAACATCTGATGGAAGATTCATTGTAAAGACCTGTTTAAAAAAATAAAAAGAGAGAAAAGCATAAATAAATAAAGAATAAAGT